TTTGTTTAGTCGTTTCGATGATAATATAAAAGGACGCCAGTGAGACATTGGGTCACTCCTCGGTGTACCGTTTGACCTTCAGCGATAACTCGTTCAGAGAGCCATGTCTTCTGATAACATTGTCGAACCCCCATTCTTCGAGATGGTGGGCTTGTTTTTCGACGAAGCACTTCCTCATGTCGAAAAGAAACTTATCGAAACGCTCCCATACAAAGGCAGTGCGGAAGAAAAGGAATCGTATATCAAGGGCGTTTTGAGCACAATCAAACCCTGTAACAATTGTTATGAATTCACCTTCCCCATCAAACTCGACAACGGAAAATTTGAACTATTCCAAGGTTGGAGAGCTCAACATTCTCACCACATCGCCCCATGCAAGGGTGGAATCCGTTTTGCCCCCGACGTCGATCGAGGCGAAGTCATGGCTCTTGCTAGCTTGATGACCTATAAATGCTCTCTTGTCGATGCTCCATACGCTGGTGGCAAGGCCGCTTTGAAAATTGACAGTAAAAAATACTCCCTTGGTGAACTTGAAAGAATCACTCGTCGATTCGCCCTTGAGCTCTGCAAGAAGAACTTCATCGGCCCATCCATCGACGTACCTGCTCCCGATGTCGGTACAAGCGAACGCGAAATGGCTTGGATTGCTGACACATACGCCAATACTACGGGTAATTCAAATCCCTCTCTTTCAAATAAAAATAAAAATTCATAATGTCAATATTATCCAATCACTATTTATTAAAATTCAGCTATAATTTAGATTTACATATTCATTTTTTTATTGCAGGCTTTGGCGACCTAAATGCCATGGGATGTGTAACTGGCAAACCCATCGCAATGGGTGGTGTTGAGGGCCGCACAGAAGCAACGGGCAAGGTATTCGATTAACACATTTTCCAAAGCTCATTTCTCAGAATTTTTATTTACATGGGCTTTCATGTTGTTATTTAAAAAAAATATTTCCCATGGCATTATCGGCACATATTTGCTTCTTTGAGGGTGTCATGTTCGGCATCAGGGCCTTCGTTGATGTTGAGAAGAACTGCAAGGCTTGCGGTCTTTCCTCTCCTGGCATTGCTGGAAAGAGGTGCATTGTTCAGGGATTTGGCAACGTTGGCATGTGGTCCTGCACCTTCCTCACCGAAGCTGGTGCCAAAATCATTGGTATCATTGAATGGAATGTCGGACTTTACAACAAGGACGGCATTGACATTCCGGCTCTCATAAAATACAAAAACGTAGGTCACTTATGCGATTAAATGCTGTTGTCTTCTACAACGAAGAAACAGTTGTTTTCCATGCTGAACTCCAACTGTGTGGAATTTTGTAGGAGCATGGAGGAGACCTCAAGGGATTCCACGGAGCCCAAGAATTCGACCGCGTTGAGCTGATGTATGAGGAGTGTGATATCCTTCTGCTTGCCGCATTGCAGCGGGTGGTTACGGCTAAGAATTGTCACAAGATCAAGGCAAAGTGCATTGCTGAGGGTGCCAATGGCCCAACTACACCCTATGCCCACAAGGAACTTCTTAAGAGGAATATTATGATCATTCCTGATCTATTCTTGAACGCTGGTGGTGTCACTGTTTCCTACTTCGAGTGGATCAAGAATCTCAACCACATCAGCTACGGCCGCCTGACCTTCAAGTACGACAAGAATGCGAGCATGCTCCTGCTAGGTAAATAAATGGGCTTTACGATAAAATTTTATCCATCAATAGTCTTGATCCCATTTCGGGCTTGGACGAATGAAAATTATCTTTCTTTTTGTAGACAGCATCAAGCATAGTCTGGCAAAATCTGGCAAACCTACCGATATTGAACCAACAAAGCAACTGAGTGATTTCCTGGATGTAAGTTTTTGACATACTTTCTTATT